TAAACATTAAATACAAAACATCGGGGTCGAGAGCGTACAGCAGTGCGAACCTCGCAACGTCACATACAACGCTTGACAGATGACAGCCACGCAGGATCGATCTGGATATGGAACGAAGCGGCTGTACAAAGTTCGATTTACACACTAACAAAAAATGGTATATTGAATCGTTTTTTTTCTGCTGTGGACACCGTTCTCTGTAGGGGGGCCGTGCTCACCACTGTCCCCTCTAGCTACACGCCTGACCACATCCCGTTTCTAATTAAAAGTGGTAGATGTACCACTGTTGTCATTGTTGTTGCTAGTCGATGGACTAGCAATAACAATGACAACTCTACGAATCGGCGATAACTGTCGTAGTCTGTGTGGGAGAAAAAAAATTGTCATCAAGTCATGGTTATGAAGTGTACAAACGACTCCGACAAACTAACAATATTCAAAATTGTATTTATACCTGTATATCCATAAAACATAAAATACATGCCTTATTTCCCGCGATCTTTCTCCACTACTCGATTGTGTTGACCCCGGGTGACCACCCCAACGACATCCCCCCCCTGCCCGCTAACTTTTTCTGTTTCAGAAACTGCCAGGATCAAGAAAAGAAGACAACACACACCCCATACCCTCCTTAGCCCTTCCCTCCCGCGCTAGCCTAAGGGCCACCTTAGGAAAGCACATCCCAGGCAGTATAGCCGCACTACTTTACCCACCCCCCCTGCCCGCTAACCTTTTCTGTTTCAGAGACAACCAGGATCAAGAAACGAAGACAACGACACACACACTTACACACCTCCCCATACCCTCCTTACCCCACCCCTCCCGCGCTAACCTAAGGGCCACCTTAGCAAAGCGCATCCCAGGCTGCATAGCCGCACTACCCTACCCAACCATACCACACATAAACATGACACTACCCCCGGGGTTTACACAGACGAGCCGGCGAAGCAAGAAGAGCGCCAGAAGAAAGGGCCCTAGCCGGCGGGGCCCAGCCAGGACAAAAGGAGGTCCCACAAAGCGCCTACACCGGCCGCATTTGCGGTCGGGGTAGACGACGGATGGGGCCCACCTACGAAGGCTGTCCAGGCCTACACGAGATGAGGCAGGATAAAGAGGGATAATCCCCCTCGATCCCAAATCATTGAGGCCAATTTCTAG